CTATCAGCAGTCTCCTGAGCCTCTAGATTCACTGGGCCCCTCTGAACCAGCCCAGTATGCCCTCCACCTGGTTCTGGTTCCCTAGCACCTTGGTGCCTCCTGTGGGTTTTCTCGACTATAAAATGCTCTGCCTTTGAAGCACTGGATTTAAGCCCAGTCTCACGTTACACCTGAATTTTGACACCAACACGTCCCTAGATTTCTGCCTCTTTGTCTTCTCCTGTCTCCCTACAACCAATTTAAGACCAACGATGATTATTGCTTCAACCATTCCTCTGCCATTCTCTTCACCCCACACCACTCCCTTCCTGCCATTCTTCCACCAAATACTCCAGCCTTGGGTTGCCAGCCACACATCCACACTGGCTTAACTTGGGTGCAGGGTGTAGAAAACCCCATGGCTCTGAAAGCTGGTGCTACAAGGAGGCTGTGGCTGCCTTCCGTCCTTCTGACCTCCTGTTCCCTCTATTATCCCTCCCTGGTTAGCACAGCTGCTTTGTACCCATTCAACCATCCTGAAAGCTTTAGAGGCACAGCCTCCCTTTTCTGTCCACTGCTGTCTCATGAGAAGTCCTCACTGTGACAGAGAAAGCAAACACCATCCTTAGTTACAGCTTGCAAGTTTCCACCATCAATCTTACCTGCAACTCTATACCTCCTGCTCATGGGGAAGTGACCAGCCCCTGTCTGTGCTGTGAACTCCATTACCCTCTGCCTTCTCCATCCTTATCAACTTTGATTGATAGCCCCAGCCTATAAATCAATTTTTTTCTCTTCTCTCCCTCTCCTTCCCCCTCCTTCTTCTCATTCCTTTCCCATAATAATAGGGTTTCTTCAGTCTCCTATCTTCTCTCTCCCCCTCTAGCTTTCTTCCTACTGATCTTCAGTCAAACATTTGTTTCTAGAATCTGTCCACCTGTGCTTTACCTGCTCAGCCCCTTCTTATGGCTTCCTTGTGACAAACTGGCTGTTCCCACAGTCATCTGCAGTCAGCTTTGTCGGCAGCTCCTGGAAAGACTTTCCTCTGTGATCCCTTCACTTCTGCAGGGTTCTCCTTAGGTTTCTAGACTAACATATTCCTTTACACCTCTCCCTTTCCCTCTGCCTTTCTCAGTTCCCACGAAGATGTCCTTTTCCTGGATGATCCATGTAATGTCACAGTGGTCCAGAGATGACCTGAGCTCTCTTTGTATTCCATGTGGACCTACATGCCTGCATGTATGTCTGCGTACCACATGTATGCCTCTTGCCCGTGGAGACCAGAAGAGGGTGGCAGATCCTCTGGAACTGGAGTTACAGATGGTTGTAAGCTACAGTGTGGATGCTAGGAACTGAACCTGTGACCTCTGAAAGAGCAGTTAGTGCTCTTAAAAACTGAGCCACGGCTCCAGCCCCTTTGAGCCTTCTCCTAACTCTAGATCAGTGGCTCCCAACCTTCCTAATGCTGTGACCCTTTAATGCAGCCCCTCATGTTGTGGTGACCCACAACCATAAAATTATTTTTGTTGCTACTTCATAACTGTAACTTTGCTACTGTTATGAATTGTAATGGAAATATATTTTGGAGATAGAGGTTTTCCTAAAGGAGACATGACCCACAGAATCACTGCCTAGCCCAACCTTGGACGTTTACGCCTTTAGTCATCCAACTAATGATGCTCACAGAGGCATATCTTATACTCTGATCTGTCTCTTAAGCTTCATATCTACCAATCCAACTCCTGTCCATGCACCAGCCCCTCAAATACAGCACCCTCAAAATCACCTGTCCCACTGAAGTCATCTTTCTCTTCACAGGAACTCTGTTCTACCTCCTTATTTTCCTGATGAGAGAGGAACAAAAGAAAGAGAGAAAGAGAGAGAGAGAAGAGCCTCAGATCTTTAGGCCATATGGAAGACAACCCTTGTCAATCTAGAAATGCAGTATGGGTGGTTGGAACAAGAAATTTCTAAATGAAACACAATTCTGGATGATTGGGACAAATCCCTGGGGGGGGGGGGAATAAATCTCCTCTTGCCAAAAAACAAATGGAAATGCATTTATTGGAATTATGATCACCGGGAGCTCATCTTTCTAAGAACTGAAGCACCACAAATTGAGACCAAAGTTTTCCCAAGTTCAGTGAACCTTAGCAGCTATGAAAAACAGGGAGAACACTCATCACTCTTTTGTGAGTTTTAGCTTGAAAAACTCGAAAAAAAAATGCCCCAGAGAAGAATGATTCAACTATTGAGAGCAGGCTGGTACCGATGATGGGAAACGACACCGTGTCTCACTGACCGGTGGTTTATCACAAAGGTAACCAGAGACGTTCTCCAAGATGGGGGAAATGATGGTGTAGAAACAAACTAGAGAAGCTAGACGCAGTGATGTATGCCTGTAATCCCAGCACTTGGGAGGCAGAGGTAGGCAGAGCTTTGTGAGTTTGAGGCCAGCCTGATCTACCAAGCAAGTCCAGGACAGCCAAGGCTACACAGAGAAGCCCTGTTTTAAAAGAGAGAGAGACTAGATAAATATGAAGGGGCTCTCCAATAGCACCAGACTTACTAAAGAGTGGAAAATCTTTTCCAATTAACTGTGTTTTAAAACTCCTTAATCCCGTGACAAATCACCAAAGCTAAGCTGATATGCTATGGCAGCCAATGCCCTGAAGCCACACCTGTGAAGCTCAGTATAACCCAGGTACCTAGTCAGTGCAAGCGTGGGAGTGAGCATGTCACCCAGGTGAGTCAGGCGTAGGGATGGAGAACAGAAACACAGGAGCAGAAAAAAAGAGGGGACGCTAAAGTCTGTGTGAGTACAGCTTGGAAATGCAGATGTGAAGAAAAGTCTGTGAACAAATTACTTATTTCTGCAGAAACAGTATTGCATAATTTCACTTATATGAAATGCCTTAAACAGGTAAATTCATGAAGATAGAATAGAGGCCAGGTTGCCCAGCACTGGTACTAGCAGGATGAATGAATGCTGAATTCAATTTAGTGGGTATGGAGTTTTGGGTTGGGGTGATGGCAAGAAGTTTTATGAACAGTATCAGTTAGTGGGACAGCTAACAGCCCTCTGACATACACAGGCAGCAATAGCTCTGCTAGCACATGGCCTCCAGAAGTTTCTACGTTACAGAGCATTTGCATGTGTGTTCTTTCCTTTAATTCTCATAACACAAATTATACATCAGTGCTGTTCATAGGCTCCACCAGCAACTACACCTTATACTAAAGCTAGAATGGAGACTATTTATCAAGTATTCATTCCCACAAGAAGGCACATGTCTCCCATAGTCTAAGCAGTAGTTTAGTTACTACCTTCATAGACGTGAACTAGAAAAGATGTCTTCCTTCTTGATGCTCGCACGGATCGTATTTCTGATGGCCTGGCCAGGTCCATCCACATTCCATGATATCTTTTCCCTTGCTGCAGCTGCATGCAGCCTCAGGCAATGTGCTGTATGTGCCCTGCTAAGGAAGTGTTGTTCCACGTATCGTCTACTCCACTGGGAACACATTTTCTCCCTTCAGTAGCTGGCTCCCTTCTGTCTCATCTAGCTCATGCAGGACTCCTCAGCATTCCTCCTCCACATAATCTCTCCATGGCCCCCTGGATTTAGCAATGGACACACTCAGTCCCCATTGCCTTCATCCAAGCCCTTTGGAGGGTTATCTGTGGAGCGACTAACTTGTGATTATGATTCTCCCAGTGATAAACATTCTTTTCTTATCAAGCAAACTTTGAAACATTCAACACTTGTCTCCTCCACACTAATCTTCATTAAGGTCCTTCGCCCTTGTGCGACAGTTCACACATCAGTGGGACCCCACACAGCATCTCAAGCTGAGAGTTACACCTTGTGTGCCCTGAGCTGTTGCTGACGCTTGTTGTTGTTCTCCTTCTTTGTCTTTCCATTTCTTTTATTAGCAAGAATTAAAATCTTGTTGTTCTCCTTCTTTGTCTTTCCATTTCTTTTATTAGCAAGAATTAAAATCCCAAAAGGAGACCTCCATTACCTCTGTAACATGTTGCAAAATGCTCTAAAATTTCCAGTAATAATATTATTGAATCGGAGTGGACATGGTATGGATGGATGGGTGACAGGTATGGCGAAAGGCATTCTGGGGAGGGAGCATCATCTGAGTCTCAGGCTTTTCAGCTATGAGTTCACACAAATCAGATATTTCTTACATGTCACATGAGGGGCCTGTATAATTTAAAATCTGTGACTGTCGATTGCAGTATATATTAGAATCACACAATGAGCTTTTGGTTTTGGTTTTGTTTTTGTTTAAGAAACTCTGGGGTTCCGCAGACTTGCTAGTCTAATAGACTGTAGCCATGGGGTGCAACATGACATGGACAAGTTTAAAATCTCCCTAGTCTCTTAATACACAATCAAGTTGGAAAGCCTCTGACTAAATCACCTCTAAGGTCCATCCAGATATGACACCACACCTTCCCATGTGCTTGAGTGACTGTGCTGACAGGAATGGGGCTATTTTAAAGCATGTGCCCCTTCCTTTGGCTTTCGGACTAATGACACAATTGGATTCCAAGAAACCCGAAGTTCCCCAGAAATCTCATGCTGCAGAGAGGGAAAATCTGGGGTCCTGGTGTCAGCCAGAAAGGAAGCTTGACGCCCAGAAAGAGGTGGCAAGCAGTGTTGACAACTGGCCAGGCTGTCCTGCAGAGGAGGCTGGAGCTGAGACAGTGGCAGGTGGGTGATGGCTGGGCGCCAGGCCTGCTTATTTGAGTGGCCATCCTCCTTGGCGTTTACTTAAACCTAAACTTCCATGTCAGGGGTAGCGTGACATTGGACCACTTCACCTGTTCTTCTCTTGAATACATCTCCTTTCTCTATCTTTCACTATTACTCGTCTTTTTAATTGGCCCACTGAAGATGGATAGCCAAGTCTAGCTTGTTTGAGCTTCCAGGGCCCTGGCTCTGACCCCCTACCCCCAACTCCGATAACCATGGTACACCCCTGAATTGTAAGAAACGAAATACCTGCAGCAGAATCTTGTTGCCATCGTAGTCCTGGGTCTGCCATCTGGTGCTGCTGATGGGAACGCACGGATTGGGTAGTAGAGGTACCAGCTGGCCGATCTCTTGAACCCTGAACTGCAGCACAGAAGACTCTTTGGGGTCCACTGACATTCCCAAGGGCAGCTGCTTCAGGGAGAGCTGTAGGCTGAAGCCCTCAGTGGCATAGAGGACAAAGAAACAGAAGTTACTCTTTTGCACCGTGGCATCTCTCTGTAGGAGCATCTCATAGAGTCTGATGGCATCTTCGTAGTTATCAAAACTGCAGTATAGTGTCACCCTGAGGATGTCAGAGCCACAGTGCACCGGCCTCACGCCCCACACTGGCATCTGGTTATGCAGGCTGTAGAATTCCTGATTGGCAGGGAGATAAGGACAAGGCCTCCCCTGTGCATGCTGGGTAGGAAAACCCTGCCAGGGTGAATGCTGTAGGAAGTCCAGGACTCGAAACAGCCGTTCCTGTCCCAGGCTTTCCTGAAGAAAGAGCAAAACCGACATCCCTGGGAAGCGGACCCTCCGGGGATGGTACTTTTCATGGTAATTTACTGGTCTGGCCCGTTCAGACACCAGGAAGAGACGCACCTCTGGGCAGATACAATCCAGGAGTTGGTCCAGAGCCTGCTGCAAAAGCGAGCCGTTCCCAGTGTCCGCAAGAAGATGCACAGTCAAGGCTAGAGGCTCCTGTGCCTCATCCATGGCAGGCCTACCTGAAGATGGTAATGATGACCCCCGACAATGCCCCCTGTTCCGCCTTCTAAGAAGAACCAAGGCCTCACACGGAGCCCTCTGCCTCTAGAAAAAAAAACTTCTGAACCAAGCTCCTCGCCAGATCACACATGCTCCCGGCTTCCTCCGATGCTCCAGCAGGGAATGTCACTCAAGCGTGGACTCTGCTACACACAACAGCAGTCGTTCCCTGTCATCCCGGCCCAGACGGAACTGTTTGCTTGGTTTTTCAGGCATCCCCTAGGGTTTCTGTTTGACCTAAAAACCTATAATGCTGAGAACCACCCCAGTGGGTGGTTCTTACAATTCAACTCAGGAGAGGAAATGACCAGACGGAAAGGAACAGGAGGAGTCTCTGTTGTGCTCTGATAGCAATCTGTAGCTCTGTTACACTGAAGAGACGTCCATTTGGTGGACCACAATGGGCTTTGACTTCCTACTGAAATATCCTGATGTTTACAGTGGCCTGCCAGGCCACCTGAATAGAATGGTGTCTTTAAAACAACTCCCTGGTCTTGTCAGCTTCCAGAGCCTTCTGCCACCATCTCTTTAATTTCATTTTTTTGACCATTTTACACTAAGTCACAAAGAGGGGATATTTTGAGTACATAGTGTTGGCCTCATTGAAAACTGTTTGTCTGGCTGAACTAAGAGTCTGGGTGCACTTAAAAAGGTATTAGGAAATTAGGTATTAAGCTTCCTTTGATTCATGCAAATTCTGTAGACAATGAGCCTTTCGATATCAGTAATATCAGTGTCTTCCTATTGAGGATCTGTTGATAAACTGTGAATTGATTTAATCAGCCAACAAGCCTACAAAGAAGAGAGTAATTATTCCCCAGTTGCTGACCACAAACGGAGGCATAGGGAAGAAAAATCCAGAAACTTGCTCAAACTCACATAGTGAAGTCGGAAGGAAGATTTGAACCCAAAATCAGAAGAGCCCACATTCAATGCTACCTCTTTAGAGCCAGGAAGGCCAGCCATGATCTCCTTTTTCTTGAAGTGAGGAGTGTCATGAAAAGAACATCACACCTTTGATGTAACGGCCTAATCTCTTCCCAAATCCTTTCATAGTCAGACATGGTAGCAAATATTTGTAATCCCAAGATTCAGGAGGCCGAGTCAGAGTGATGGCTGTGAGGTCAAGGTCAGTTGGGCCACATGAGGAGAGGCCCATCTAAACAATATATCAACCCCTAGCTCCACAGACGACAAACAAAAAATGCTGTTCTGTAACTGAGCTGCCACTGGGTCTGGGTGTGCACCGTTTTCTAAATATGAATATGTTTAAAAGGAAGTTATTGATGCTCAAAGTGTGTTGTGACTTTCTAATTAGTCAAAACCAATGTTCACTGAAAGTGATAACTTCCTCTAACGTTACATCTTATATACATGGGTTCCCTCAGTAGTGTGAAAGCTACGACCCTGTGCTTTGACAACAGGCTGGGTACTCTAATTCTAAAGAAAGATACTTTACCCCTCCTTAACCAAGACCAGAGCAGCAGAGGCCCCCGGGAAAGAGTCTCACAGCTGAGTCTGGTTTCATTCATAGTTTTCTATAAATTGTGAAACCCTCACAAGCACATGGGAGAAGAAATAGATTCTTTCTCTCCCTGACTTGGCCAAACTGTCAATCAATCCACTTTCCTTTTCTAATTTCTTTTTTTTTTTATTAAACTTTTATTTTTTAATATTAGTTATAGTTTATTAACTTTGTATCTCCTTTTCTAATTTCTGTTTCTTAATTTTTTTGGACTGCAGGGAAGCTGAGGTGGTAGGTTACGGACTTGACCACTTGTTAATGGTACAATAACCAAATTTAAAGCCAAAACCATCCATGGAAAGCAATCATCTCCACTCAGAGCTACCCACAGTTTTAACCCACTGAATTTTTTAATACTAAGAATAGAATTATAAAATTATTAGAAAAGTATAGATTAGAATTAGAAATTTATTAGAAAATTATAGAAATAAAGTTTGTAACAGATTGTTCTTAAATTTCCATATGTAACTTAGTAATCAGATTCATTTTTGCTTTAACTTTCTGGGAATCGTTAACAGGGATTTAAAAGAATTACAGCTCTCAAACTTAAAAAGAAAGCCATGGCTTAATTCATGGCACATGCTGACATTTGAAAGCAGTATAGGAGCATTTCCTCTCCCACAGCCTTCCTCTTACAGAGCTGTCTCCTCTGAGTCACTCTAGAGCAGACTCCGGTTTTTGAAAGAGCTTTTGAAATTCTTAAAATAGCATAAATAACTCTAAATGTTTGAAGAGAAAAACCCTACCCTTGAGTCAAAAAGATTAACTCATCAACTCACAGGTGCTAAAAGTTGGTTAAAACTATATAACACAAACCACAAAGTTCTTGTGGGAAGAGGTTAAGTTTAGCCTTTCATCCAACGTTCTTTGTGGTTTGTGTTTTTTTGTTTTTGTTTGTTTGTTTGTTTTTGTAAAACACCTCATTAGTCTGTTGGCAGCTAAAGTGCCAAGCAATTGCAGTCAGGAGCAGGGGAGGGGGTCAGCCAGCACAGGGACTGACTGTCATTGCAGGTCCTTACCCTGGAGCAAGGTGTCATCCTACCCCCTTGTCCCCGTCTCCACATCTTAGTTAAGCCCCGCAGTGAGCTTTGGTTTTTGCACAATGCTCCCGTGGAGAGCACAGATGAACATTCAGGGACTTCCTCAGGTTTGACTGGCTGATACTTAGCCCTCTGCCTTATTTTCCCTAAACTTGATGCTTCGGACTACTCTCCTGCAGTGTTTTGTTTTCATTTTCCCAAACGCTTGCTCCAGCAGCTGAACCAAATGAAGCAGGGTAGCTCCGTCTGTCTGCAGAAAAATGGGTGCCGTGGCCTCCATTATGATCCAGGTGCAGCTTTACAGTCACTGCTGGTTTCATCTGTCGCCGGAGACTTCTGCTTCCAAGCTGCATATCTAGCCGCCATTCAAGACTATGGTCACTGGGAAGACGAGGTGGCAGCTCGTTCAGCATTGTTCTTATCTTGTTTCCGTGGTCCAGGGAGAGCTGAAGCAATAACCTGTTCAGTTCTTCAGAGAATCCCAGAACACAAACAGAGTCTTGGAAATCCACACCATGCTGGAGAGTGTCCGCGCGCACTTTGAGTTTTCTGGCGGCGCCTTCATAGATCTTTGGGTTAGATCCCGGTTCCTCAGACGGGGGAACTCACGGCGATCCTCCCGAACTTGGCGACCGCTGCGCTGTCCACTAGAAGCAGGAAGGTCAGATGCTGCTGTGCTCCTCAGACAAACCCAGCAGCATCTTAGAAGGTCTGCTGGCTTGGCCACACAGGGCCAGCCCGTCCCTCGGCACTACTTAGGAAAATTTGTTAGGACCTATAAGACCTTCCGGATTTGTCCCGTCCTTAGGTCTCATAAATATAGTGTGATACCTTGAAACGCTAATATTTCCATTCACTCCCAGACTCAGGAAAACGTTGAGGATGTTTTTTTCCATCTTTAATCTATCATAAATGTGTGTTTTGTTTTGTTTTGTTTTGTTTTGTTTTGTTTTGTTTTGTTTTGTTTTCCACACACTGTAAGACTGGCTCCTCCCCCAGAGCAGAAGGCACAGTCACCTGGGTTCCACTGGGTTACTGGAGCCTTTGGTGTCAGGATCAAGGGAGATCTATGGGAGGAGCTCTTTTCAAGGTGCGGGGCAGAAAGCCTTGATAAGTGCAGGCAGGTGTGGAAACTGGGTTTGGACTGAGGGTGGAAAGGAGCCTGTGGGAAGAGGACAGTCTCAGAACTGTGGCAGACTAGAAGTGCAGGCGGCTCTCTATGGCTGGAAGGAAGCCAAGAGCGTTCGTTGTAAGGAGCAGTTTGGGCTTTATTCTAACACAAACAGAACCATACCAAGGGTCATCTTGGGCAGGAGAGCTGTGAAGACAGGATCTCACTATGTAGCCCAAGGCAGCCTCGAGCTCACAATCATCCTGTCTCTGCCTCCCAAGTGCTACCCACACCTGCCATCATACGGAAGCCCAGCAAGGAGGCTTGTGAGCTGGTGGAGTATCATCTGCCTACTCTTCCCATGGTGGTGTCCACAGGTGTCTGGGTGAGGTTGTCAGACCCAAATAAGGACCAATGCAGAAAGCGAGCAATCAGGCCTGAAGATAAGTGTGTTGCACAAACATATTGAGAAGATGTCTGTAGGACTCCGAGTAGGGTGTCCACTACCACCTCAGAGTGGAGGGACAAAGCAGAGAATGAGTCCCGAATAAACCCTGATCTCTATGGGATATGATCACCTAGAGAGAGAATGGAGAGCCAGAAGATGGGCCGTGAGCACACTCCATTTAAGGGACAAGAGACATGTATGTGGTACCTCAGGACAAATAAATATAGGGAATGAGGTGTGCCATCCTAACTGGGTGGTGCTTGAGTCTTTGGTCACAGGATCCCAGGACATGGCTTTGGTTGGCAGACTGTCACTTTGACACTGTCACATTTGTTGAGTCACTCCTCCTTCCCAGTTAGGCAAACCAAAAGCAGCAGCTGTCTCCCTACAGGCCTGAGACCCAGGCAAATCGAAGCAGCCCACCCTGCAGAATCTGAAGTAGAGGTGCTGGGGAGAGATTAGATTTCCCGTACCTTTACCTCCTGCTGGTAGCCTCTCACTCTGTACCCGTGGGAAGAGCACTGCAAGGCTCTGTCATGGATGCAGGACTCTTTGGCATCTCCCAGATCACACACACACACACACACGCACACACAGACGGACACCTCGCTCATGCTTCTGGCTTTTTGGGAACCCTGGCAGGAACAACAGCACAAAGCCAATGGCACAACAGCACAAAACCCCTTCATGGCTGTACTGTAAGAAAAACGGTGTAAATAGTCACCATAATCACCTTCCCTCAGCTCTTGGCTCTGTACTGAGAGCCTCCCTCCCAGATCCCCCAGGAATACTTCCTGCTCAGCCCCAAACAATGCTATCGGGATCCTAGTAAACTG